TAATGAATGTCTTCAGTGACAACGATTACTTTGTAAGACAGTCAGGTCTTCTATACCAGTTGCATTTTCATGGTGATGTAATATTACTTGGGCAGGTTTGACATTTAAAAGTAAAAGAAAAGTCTATTAATCCATCAGTTTCTTTACTGATGTTTTAGTGTTTGTTGTCATCTATAAGAGGGGTGGCTGACACAGACTTATTTATATTTTGAAGCCATATAACATACTATGGGAAGAACTAAATACAGTACAGGTCTTTGGAAATCACAGGAATATGAGACATCCAAAGACTAATGATGATATCTTGAGCCTGAGTTTTCTACAATACTGATTGATTTTCATTATATAAAGACCACTGTAAACATTTGAAAGGGTGGGGGATAGCTTAGTGCTAGAGTCCTTGTCTAGAATGTACAAGGCTTCCGGCTCCATCCCCAGCATGGGGAAGAGAGATCACCACTTTATAAAAGAAAGACCATTTTTAAAGTGCATTTTAAAAAATCATTTTCAGGTTCTTTTTTTTTTTTCTCTTTAGGCCACATACCATACCCCTCCCTACCTTTTCTTCCCTCAAAAACCTCTAGGAACATTTAAGTTGTGCATTGGGTCAGTTTCCCCAGTTGTTTAAGAGCTGGTGTACAATTAGCAAAAATAACTCATGACAAAACTTTGTTCATCAGTTCTCTAAGAAAAAAGTGGTAAATGGGGTTTAAAAGTTCAGAATAAGTAAAAGGTGTACAAGAAAGTCCATGTTCCAAATTAAATGGATAGTAGATGGGTTTTTGGACATCTGCTCTTTCCAGAAAATAGGGGTTCCTGCTTCCCTAGACAATGTTTCAAAACAAACGCTGCCTTAGATAATGGCTGCCCTTGAGTAAAACTCCAAGAAAACACAGGACAGTGATTAAGTGTGGCTGTGCTCTCTGTCACCCTGGGTAAACAAGCCTTGTTCTCTGTTGTGGGCACACTCTTACCTCTGCTGATCTAGTCCAGATTGTCACCCTGTTCTACCTCTCCCCTTGTGCACATGCCAAGCCAGATTTAGGATCTAGTACTGTGGTGAAGTGTATATACTGAAAGATTGGGACAGGAAATTTTGCAGGGGTTGTTGAGAGCAGCCTGGAGGCCAACTGGGAAAGCACAGGAGTTTTTGGAGTGTGGATCTCAGCATGAGGCTCCCACAAACACAACCTCATTGGGCAACTTTGTTTTAGATTGTTGGCCATAACCCCAGACTTTCTACAGCAGAAACACTGGCGTGAGCCCAGCAGGCTGTATTTGATTAGACCTGCAGGTGAATCTGGTACACACGTTTAAAACAACCAAGTTGAGGGATAGTGAATGGACTAGGAAGCCATAATGTTGAGCCTGTGTTCCCAAGATGCTATGATCTTTCAGCAAGGAGCTTATGCTGGCCTCCTGAAGTGTTATGGTCCTTCAGTAATATTAATAAAACTACCTTTCCTTTTGAGTAAGGACTTCTTGTTTTATTCTAATGGATTAGATTTTATTTTTACTTGGAAGGTTACTCATTTCAAAGGAATGTAAATTGTCCCTTATTGTTCTTTTCCCCCCATAAGAAATGAAAGTGCTCAGACAGATGGTTAAACTGGTTTTCCATTTAAAATGTACTATATCTTACTGAAAATGCTTTTCCAAGGAAAGACCTGGGTTTTTGTTTGTTTGCTAATTAGATTTTGCTAAATTTTGCTGAAGGATTGAGCTCTTCCAGCTGATGGTTTGCTAAGGACTTTTAACTTTGGACATCATACTTGGTAAAATCCAACCACTGAATTTTTAAAGGGCTGCCAGGAAACTTGAGGATTCAAAGACATTTACATATTGCATAATTCAATTTTTTTACTCAATTTTCAATGTAATTTACCCTATAAGGGGAAAGTTTGTTATTGAACCGTTTAGGTTTTATGTACTCTACCTTTTATGATATTTTTGCTCAAGTCTTGAAAAATGCCACTCCTTCCTTTTCCTTCTTTTTTCTTGTTTTCTTTTCTTTCTCCTTTCTTCCCTTTTGTTCCTTGCCATAAAGCTTTTAATTTCTTTTTTATGTGAACCATACCTTTCTTGGTACTTCACCCTGGCTTGGAACTTACTGTGTAGTCTAGCCTGGGCTTGATCTCACAGAACTCCCATTGCCTCAACTTCCTAAGACCTGGTATTAAAGACATGAATCACCACTTCTGGGGGGAAACAACAACAAAATCCAAAAGTCTTCTTTTGAAAAGAAGTCAATAACTTAAAAGGATTATGCCAAATAGAAAGGAGTTATAGCCAACACATTTAGAACAAGAAGACTATTGCTGGAAAGTGGACTGGAAGATTGGCCAGTCTTAGGATACAACACAGGGAACTTTAAGACAGAGAAAAATGGAATCTTGTGTGAGCAGGTGTGTAGGCTGACTCTAATTTTCAGAAGAAAGTTTTTCTGTAAGTCACTTTCTTTTCAAGTTAGACATGTCCTGTTATTAGGGCTTGAAATAAATTTTCATTTGCATGTATTAGTATCTTGTCTGCCTGTGTCTTTGCACCATGTGCACACAGTGCCTTCAGAGGCCAGAAGATGGTGTTGGATGCCCTGGTACTAAAGTTGCATATGGCAGGAAGACACTCTAGGAATGCTGGGAATTGAACCCATGTCTTCTGGAAGAGTAGCAAGTGCTTCAAACACAGCCATTTCTCCAGCCCCTTGAGGTTTATGCTTTCCGATGAAAAACAAATTCTTTAACATCTGTTTTCAGTGTCAAGGACAAAGAGAAATCTAAATGTAACTCTATTTGAATCTCACTCAGGAAATGAGAACCCTAAACATAATATTTACACTTTTAGATGTAATTCATCTGTCTTCATGAGTATGCACAATTTCCCTTTTTGCTAGGCTTTCTGCTTAGGCTACATTGTTGGTAAGATCTCACAAGTAAAGCTTTCCTGTTGTACACAAAAGACACTATCTTGAAGCATATTTCCTGGTCCTCTGCCTCTTACAATCTTCCCACCCATTCTTCTGAAATGTCTCCTGAGCCTTAGGTCTAGGGATTGTGTTATAGATATGTCTATGGGGTGGTGTACCCCATAGTTCTTCTCTGCATTTTGACCAATTGTGGCTTCTTGTAATCGTCCATCTGCTGTAGAAAGAAGCATCTTTAGTGAGGTCTGAGAGCTACACATGTCTGTGTGCATAAAGATGGGTATTTAGAAGACAGTTTCCAATTATACAGGTTTAGGAAAATGGCAGTAGTTAGTTCCTCCTTTTGGGATCATAGACCTCAGTAGGCTAGATTTACAGTGTCTGGCAAGTATCCCCTTCTATTAAGCAGTCCAGTTAAATGACTGTTGGTAACCCTCAGTGTGACTTTTACATCTTTTGGAATATCTTGTGCTGGTTCTAGTGGTTGTTGTGTTACATAGGCATTCAGCTGGGAAATACTATTGATTGCTTTTTTTTCCCTTGGTGGTTTGTATAGTTCCTTGTAGTGCCATGAGAATTGACATTCAGAAAGTAGGCTTCTAGGTCAGACCTGTCTCATATTCTCCTCTCTCTGAAGTGTCTGGTGTCTTCAGCAATAGGATGTCTTCAATTTCCAGGAGTCAGTCAAGGGCAACGGCAGTAATCCATGTTGTTAGAGTGCTTTTTGGTCTCCTCTGACCAACAACCCAAAATATGGTTTCCCATGACTGGCACTGGGGTTTTGTTAGATGTTTATGGATTTGGGGGGAGTATTGTCATCCTAAGTGGCATAACTTCATTTAATCTACATAAGTGTAATTTATATATACATAATTTTAAGTAGACATGAAACAATATGATTCCCTATGACATTTTCAAACAGCCTTAGTATCATTTATCCCTCCTTTCCCTCTGAATTGGCTTCCCTCCCCCATCCCTTGGCCAGCCCCCTACCCCATTTTTTCTTCATTTTCCCCTTTATAGCATCTGTGGTATAAGCCTTTAATGCCAGTGCTTGGAAGGCAAAGACAGGTGGATTTATTTGAGTTCAAGTCCAGTCTGGTGTACACAGTGAATTACAGGCCAGCTAGCGCTACATAGGAACACATTGGAGAGGAGGAGGGGGCATTATTTTTTTTTTAACATGGACAACCAATAATTCACTACTCCTACATTCCTCTTCATGGCTACCTCAGTTAGGTGGATATCAAGATTTCATATGAGTGTGAGACTCTTTCTGGGGTGTCAGTTCTGTATCCTTGCTATATTTCTGTTCTGATTTCACACTATATTATTTAACGTACATTTATAATAAATGGTGATAGCTAGTAGGTAGTGAGCATTATCTGAATTATCTTTTTTTAGCATGTCTGGATTATCTTTAACATTTGTCTTAAGCATTTTCAATGACAAAAACATGCTTTAAAACAACATGATTAAAAAACAGCATACTTTGTATGATAAATATAATTTTGATTTTTCAATTAAAAATAAAAAGGGACACATAAGAAATATCTAATGTAAATTTTCTTGGGATTGCATTGGAAATGTAGAAGAATTTGGGAATTTTCAGATTAGTTTAATTTTCTAGTCATCAGAGGTTATTTATAAAAGTTTGAGCTTATTATTCTTTCTCTTTGAGACTTTCATTGACTGTTTTATATTGACTCACTAATAAAGACATTTTCAGTATAAATTCTTTGTTTGGGATTAATCTAGAATTGGCACTTTCCAAAAGAGTGATAACATTCATTTCAGGATATTTGCCAGAAGCAGAGACCTCTGTTCTGTGTAACAGCTCTGGCTGTGCTAGAACTTGCTTTGCAGACCAGGCTGGTCTAGAGCTCACATAGGTCCTCTTGCCTCTGCCCCCTGAGTGCTGGGATTAAAGGCATGGGCCAACACTGCCCAGCTCTGTATAGATATTCTTACATGAAGTTTTCTATTTAACCATGAATGGCCATTTTTTTTTGGTTTGTTTCCTCTGCCAACTTACTTATATGTGCTTTCAATAAATATGCTTCTAATTGCTTTGTAGGTGGCAAAATGCTAATCAGTGAAAGAGCCTGTTGCTGGCCAAGAGGAATTGTTCCAAGTAGATCTGAAGGAAATTTGGTTGACATGGAAGCCTTAAAACTCTCAAAAAAGCATAATATTACAGGTACAAGAATTTCTAATATGGTAATGTTTCTGTGTAATTAAGTCAAATCATTTCCTATACATATGGAATGCTTGCCTCTAAAAAGTTCTATAGAAGATTTACAAAATTATCAAGTACAAGTGCTATCACAAACGTAATACCATCAAAGATAAATGTATTCTTAAGAAAGGACACTAATAGAGGCTATAGAGATGTCTCGATGGGTAAAATCTTTGCCACTTAAGCATGAAGACAAGGCTTTATTTTACCTATATGCATTAAAAGTCAGGCACGGCAGATACCTGGAGTTTACTAACCACCAAATGTAACTAAGCTGTGAGCTCCAGGTTCAGTAAGAGACCCTGTCTCAAAAAATAAGGTGAACTCCAATAGAGGGAGACACCTGATGTGGACTTCTGGCCTCCTCATGTAAGTGTAAATGTATCTGCCACACAATGCACCACACGCACACACACACACACACACACACACACACATGCATCACACACACATTTATACATACACACATACATGCACTACACACATGCACTAAACACACATGTATACACACAAGTACCATACACGCACACATACACACACACATTTATGCACACATTATATATATACCATACACACACATGCACCACACACACACATGCACCACACACACATACACACAAATAAATAAAGCATACTTACATATTACAATAAATATCATACAGAGGCACAAATTAATAAATAAATGAATAGTGCATCCTCCAAATGTTGTAAACTTGAGGGGAATGAAGACAAGCAGGGACTGGAGCAGCCTAATAATCTTCATGGAGTAGAATCCAACTGACCTGATACTCAAGGGGGTTAAAAAAATGAGTTTCTGACAGTTTGGGGTAGATGGATTGAGGATGTTTGGTAATATGAGAAATACTGTTTCTGTATTTAAAAATCCATCTTATACCTTTTAATAAGTAGCATAACTAACTTAAAGCAAAATGAAAGTTCTATGAATATTAGGGGGAAAAGTAACTAAGTTGTCTATGGTGCTTTCATTGACCTCAAAACAGTATCGTATTATTCAAAATCCTCATGTTTGTGACTAGAGGTTTCTGTGAAAGTGCCAAACAGAAACCACTCTAAACATAAAATGACCTTGATGTTATGGGATGTTTTGAGAATGTTTTATGTGCTCTTCAAGCCCTTTCCAGAGAAATAATAAAGTGTTTCTGTTTCTAGTGGCATTCCGTATTTTACCATTAAGATCTCTCAGAAAGTCCAGTGAATTCCTGCAGGCAGTAATTTCACTGTCAGTGTGTTTTTTTCAATGTGTCTTTCTTACACATACAAAATGTAATGTTAAATTTATTAATACAGGGTTACCAGAAAATAAATAATTAATAGTAACTTTAACTTAGAAGACTGTTTTGAAAACTATTTCAGGTATGTATAGATGTGTTTGACATCCTTTAGATATTTTGAAAAGAAAGATATCAAATTAAATTTTTGATATAATGAGACCAACAGTTCAATTTTTAGAAAAATCTGGATGACGGCTATTTTTTCAGAAGTTTCCTTTCTGCAAATGAAACATAAAATAATAAAGCATAACTTTATGTGAGTATAAGTGAATGTGTTAAATACATTATTAGTGTGTTTTTATATGTAATTGTCTACTGTACTCAGAGTCATTTATTTTATATGATGATCCCTTAAGATAATATTAATGTACATGTAGTAAAAATAACAGTATAAAACTCCCCTTTCCTCATTATGAACAAATTGATATGATTTATTCCTGAGCTTGTGGTGGACAGCAGCATCAAAAATCAAAACTTAAAGTAAGTTTTGAACTTTTAAAGTATGAGTAAATTAACCATGGTTGTCTCAGACTCTCACTTCATTCTTTTTTGCTTTGTTTTGTTTCAATAACAAGCATGCCAGGGTCTAGGCTCTCCTCATAACTGTCTAGAAGCTTCTACTCACCGTGGTGATAGTGCTGCCAAAGCTACAAATCCATTCTGGAATGAGCTGTCTGCTTCGAACCCATTTCTGGATGACATCACTCAGCTAAGAAATAACCAAAAGAGAGATAATTTGTCCATTCTGAAGGAAGATCCTTTCCTTTTCTTAAGGCAAATAGAAACAGGGAATTCTTTTGATTCCTCTGGTGATGAACTTGACATAGATCATGTACTTAGGCCATCTTCCTCAAGGAAGTCAGGGAGATCTAAGAGTGTTTCAGAACTCCTGGACATGTTACATGATACAACACATACTCATCGAAATACACATATCTCTGACCAGATCCTAATACAAGACTTAGAATGGCTTCAAAATGACCGAGAAGCATACAAAATGGCTTGGTTAAGTCACCGTCAGCTGGCCCGCTCTTGCCTAGATCTGAATATGATTAATCAGAGTCCTGGGTGGGCTCAAACACAGATTGCAGAGACCACCGCAGTTTGTAAATTAAATCATGAAGGAGGGTCAGTCCAGTTACCTGACTCAGATATCACTGTTCATGTACCCCAAGGACACATAGCTGTAGGAGAATTCCAGGAGGTATCTCTGAGAGCATTTATGGATCTCCCACCAAAGCTGAACCACGATCACTCCTGTACTGTAAGCCCTCTGTTGGAAATCAGGTTAAGCAACCTGAAGACCATGGGAGCTATTTTGTTGGAGATGAAAATTGGAGCAGAAGTGAAAACAGATCCTCTCAGCCAAGTCATGACAAAGCTGGTGTGTTTACACAGCCTGGGCAGAGAAGGCCCTTTCCAAGTCCTAAACAACTGCTATTTCTACAAAGACACCATCCAAGCAAAGTTTCTGGATCTGAGTCAAGTAATGTACATAGTCATAGCTGTACAAGCTGAGGCCATTCAGCCGCCAGCTACTAGTGTTTGGGATTATATTCACAAAACCACCTCCATTGGAATTTATGGACCCAAATATATCCATCCAAGTTTTACTGCTGTTCTCACAGTTTGTGGACACAACTATATGCCAGGAAAGTTTACAGTCTCTGACATTAAAAAGGGTGGAAAAAACACATCTCCAGTAGTATTTCATCTCTGGGGGAAGCATTCATTTTTACTTGACAAGCCTCAAGATTTAATTATTTCGGCTTTTTCATGTGACCCTGATTTTGAAGTAAAGGTTGAGAAAGAAAGGAAAATAATTACACAAAGGCAGTTGGAAGCAGGTGCGGTAGTTCATCAACAAGTTTTCTTTTCTTCAGCTGACCACAGAGAAATGCACTTGTTTGTTTTCCGGGTTCATGTGGAGCCTCCCAACGGAAAACCAATCACACAATTCTTCGTCACTTCACCTGATCCAGCCCCAAACCTAAAAAGGCTCTCACATCTCCAGAACTATTTCCAGAAGGAGAGAGAAGGCAAGAAAGTGCCTTTGTTATCGACAGGGCTTGTTAACTACCCCACTTTCCAGGATAAAAAAGTAAACTTTACCAATTACGGGGTTACACTGAAGACAGTACTGAGGCAAAGTAAGATTGAGTACTTACTTGAGTATTTAAGGGGAGATATAATTGCTCTTCTTGGAGAAGGCACTGTGAGAGCCATTGGACAGTCCAAAGTGAAAGAATGGTACGTAGGGGTACTCCGGGGTAAGATTGGACTTGTGCACTGCAAAAATGTCAAGGTGATTTCCAAAGAACAAGTAATGTCTATGTCTGATGATATTTTGACAACCAAGAATCTTTTGGAGCAAATTGCCTTGCCATTTAAAAATCTGACGTATATATACTCTGTTGTATTGACCCTTGTGTCAGAAAACATTCATGACTGGAAAATTTTAGCTAATGTCCTGGGCTACTCACATCTGGCGCAGGAAGATTTTGATCAAATTGAAGCAGACAAGGAGCCAGAAAGGGTTTCCTATATTGTTAAGAAGTTAAAGGAAGATTGCCATGAAGACAAAAGTACCAGGAAGTTTCTTTATGAAGTGATTGTGGTGAGTATTGATTGATCCTAATAATTCATTTTAGAGAATTTCATTAACTTGATGTTTATAACAAACGTGAGAGGTGAAATGAAAACCTAGTAGTCTCAAATACATTAAAGTCCCTGAACAACAAAGAGAGAATTTTTTCCTACAAGGTCATAGTGTTGGATTCATTATTTGAGAGTCAATCATGATTTTCTCAGAAAATGTGTCTGTAAGGATCATCTTTTAAGAGAGTTTGAAGGTTGTACTTTTGTTGGGCCTTTTCTTTTAAATTTTAGGAGATTAATTTTTCTATTCTCAAATATTTAGACAGCCCTTCAAATATCATAGGAGTTCCATAACATGAAGGTCAAGAAAACAGACAAACAAAAATACCTGGTCTTATAGAGGCTGATTTTTCAATGTTTCTTTCCTTCAAACACATAAGTATTATCCACTATTTCATAAGTTTAATGTTCTTCTGTATATAATACTTCATGACCTAACAATGATTCTTCTAATACTGTATTTAATATTCTACTAGAATTCTCAAGGTTCAACTCTTTTCAGCATGTATTGACCCAACTTAAAATCCTGTGGAGAATTATAAATAATTGGATTTAAAACAGAAATCCAATGTTATATTAACAGTATATCAAGATGACATTTTAAAAAATTAAAATGTGAATTTATGAATGTAGCTAATACATCCTAAATGCAAAATGCTAATTCTATCTTCAAATAGTGTGTAAGTGTGTGTGGAGCGGTGGCATAAAGTATTTTTATAAGTACATATTAGGAACTATACTGTCTAGTTGGTGAGTGGACAGTATTTTTAGAGATACTGTGTTCTCAGTGACTGCGGGCCTATGTAACTGAATATTAGAAGCCTTATGGCTCAGTATAAGCTACACATTCATTTTGCAATAGCTTCTTTTTGTAACTCAGATATTCAACACAGACTCAAATACTACAAACAAAAATGACTCTCTTTTCTTAGTAGCTGAAAATAAGTTATCTACGCCTCATGATCTGAAAATTCAGGTCATATCCTACTTATAGTTTGGAGAGGGCATAATAAATCATAGAATGCCTTGATTAGACAATGCTGATAGAGACCCATTCAAGAGAGTGGGACCTAATAGACCCAAAAGCTAACACTAAGCCTCAGTGGTACCATCAAGACATCCTTCTAAAAGAAGCTTAGGTTTGCCATCTGTTGGCAAAGCAATTGGTCCTTCTGTAGTACAGAGTTGTGTCTTCAAACATTCTTGGCATTACATATGTATTTTTTTCTTGCTCTGTGTCTTGATGAACCAAGTTAAAGGCATTAAAACATGTATTAGTAAAGTTGTTTAACCTTGATTCCATAGTTAACTACTGAGGGTATACTAACACTCTCCTACTTCTAGTGTATATTATAACTGTGGTTTCTTGTTGAATTTCTTAAATATAAATCACTGTTCTGAGTTTAAAAACTTCAGCTGTATGTGTGGTGGGAAAAGGGATTCTGATTTCTAGACTACATAATGAAAACTACAGCTTAAGGAAAAAGTCAATGAGTTGTTTCTAAGTATGATGAATACTTGCTGCCGCAGGCTCTGCTAAAGATGGACTGTCAAGCATTAGTGGCACGTCTTATCCAAGAGGCTGTTATTCTGACCTCAGCTGTTAAGCTTGGAAGAGGTTGGAGGGAACTTGCTGAAAAGTCTGCAGGACTCACTAAGCATCAGATGCAGGCATATGAAATTCCTTACCGAGGAAAATCTGGAAATGTTTCAGCTGAGGTGAGATTTTCATATGTTCCATTCAATGCTAACAAACTGTAGCCAAGTAGAGAAAATATAATTTAGTCTTCTCCATATTCATGAATTAATTGGAGGAACATTCAAGGAGACCTACTAAGTGAAGTTACTATCTGGATAATCCTGTTGGAAATGTCTGAGATATATGTACTGTACTTGTAAAAAACACATTTCTATTTCTCTTTTTAAATTTCATATTACCATGGCTTTTGACCAAAATAATCCATTAAATTGGCACAGTGAGGGCACAGGCTACAAGAATTTAAGGCCTAGAACAGGTACTTTTTGGAGTTAAACAACAGTATTAATCAAGTCAACTCAGAGAAGATATACTGAATCATTTGTGACAAGTAATAAGCGGTTGATGATGAATGGTAGGAGCTGAATTATATGGAGTCACTGGAAATGACTGACAGAGATATGAAAGAGCCATTTCATCTCTTCTGAAATTCTATGTACAGTAAGAGTTATAAATATACACAGAATGAAAGCATTTATTCATCACAAGACCTGCTTGTGTCAGCAGTATTATTACATGGATTCTGCTAGAATGTATATGTATTTCTTCAGATTGCCAGAAAAGTTATGTGATCCAATTTTTATCAAATTATATAAAAATATCTTCCAGTAATAAGTACATGTTAGGTACCCTGCATCTTGAAAGTTAAAACTTTCTCAAGGTATTTAAGTTAAGGTCAACATTCTCTGTTTTGAGATGGAAACATTGTAGCCACAATATACATGTTTTATGTCATTTTGGGTCCCAGAGAAATGAATATATATGTTTTCCAAGACAGGGCTTCTCTGTGTAACAGCCCTGGCTGCCCTGGAAAGCACAGAAATCCCACTGCCTCTGCTTCTCAAGTGCTGGAACTGAAGGCCTTTGCCACAATGCCTGTTCATCGAGATGAATATTTACTTTTAGATTCTTCTTAGTACGAAGCAACAATTCTGTTGGGTGAACAGGTTGCAGCCTTTCCAAGACTTCTTCCAACTGCAGCAGTATCATCTGGACAGATGCCGAATCCCTGAAACCCATCTCACAAATTAGGGCTTCTAAACAAAATCTATCCAGGAGCAGCCAGGGACTGGACACCTGTGTCCCACTTATCAGCTGCACTTATCTCAAACCTAGAAGGAAACTGAAGCCTTTCAATGAATAGACTCTAGTGTGAGCATTGCAGACCATATGGACACAAGTGTTCTCTGAGTGAGCTGAAGACACAGGAACCTTGAGGGATAAAAGAGTAGAGTGAGAATTGTGCTGTTGTGGTCCTGGCATTTTCATCCATCAATTAAAAATCTGTCTAATTGAAAGCTTCTCTTCTTTTGTCTGTGATAGGGCCTTGCTTTTAAGAGTTTTGTTTAGATTTACTGGAGAGCTGTTTGTCCTGCCAGCCTTCCTAAGCATCTGGTTTCCCTTTAATTGTGTTCATTGTTTGCCTTCCCTTAAATTTGATGAAGGCTAACACACAGCCTACTTTTCCATTATTTACTTTCACACAGCCCAAATCATAAGTGACTAAGTCTGTGTCTGAGGCTGATAAAACCTCAGAAGCACAAAGGAAAGTCCCTAGATGTTTTCTAGAGGCAACAGCTCAGTTCATTGCAACTAATGCTAACAACCAGTTATTGACCCATGTTATTACTCTAAAAACTCAAAGGCATTGTGGCCTGAAGTCACTCCAAGAGCCCTATAGCAAATTTTACCTGTTTGGCCACTTAAAGGGATAATGTATGCTAATTTCCACATCCCTAAAATATTGTAGTAGAGTTTTTGTTTTTTCTCCTTGGGAAAATAAGAATTTTAAACACGATGGGTTTAACAAGTCAGGTAGTTGATTTATAAAAAGTTCTAAGTGAGGGTGCAGTGGTAAAGAACTGACTTTGGGGTAAGGAAACATCAATTTAGTGTTCCCTTGCTGTGCTGTCTTTGTTTCTTTCATGTCATTTACTCTGACTTATGGTCTATGGGGCCTGTGCTCTGGTATAGTTTTTCTTCTGGGATACAAGAGCGTGGGTTCTCCCAGGACTCAGCTTGACAGATACGGCATTTTGCTGCTTCCAAAATATTCCTGATCATCTTCATCAAGCCTCAGGCTGATTGAAGAATGGGGATGCTGAATGCACTTTCCCTATGCATTTTAGTGCTTTTGACCATTCAGAGTTCTTTGCTAAGTGAAAGAAACATCTTTGGAGACTTCTGAGGATGTCACTTTTTAAAATAAGCACCTCCTTAATTTATGTTTTAAGTTACAACTACTACATTAAAGCAAAACTGTAATGTTTAGAACCAATCATATAAGCAAAACACACTTTAAAATTATTTTATAAGGTTTGTAAAGACTTATTTTTGTTATATATATATTTGTTTTGTCTATACACCATATGCAAGTTTATTGCCTTTGGAGGACAGATTTAATATCAGATTCCCTGGAACTGGGGTTACAAACAGTTGTCAAATTCCGTTTGGGTGCTGGAGGTTGAAACTGCATCCTCTCTTAGAGAAGTCAGTGATCATAACTGCTGAGCCATCTCTCTAGCCCATGCAAAAAACACATTTTAAGTAATATGTTTCTTTCTGAAACTGTTAAAGTTAATATTGAATTCCTTTTAGTTTTTCTGAGGATATTTAAAGATTTAATTTAAAAATACAAGAATAAATAAAATGCAAGAAACATAGCACAATTTAAAGTCCAATTTTATAGGAAAAAGAGCTGGAGATTTCAAATCAAACATAGTCATAGGCCTGAAGCAGATCCTCAGTCAGCCTTCTAGAGATTACTGGCAAATCTGACAATAATTTCTCTGTGACTCTCTTCCATGATTCTTTCTTTAGAAATAACGATTAGGCTTCTACTTTCCTATTTGCTAAAGACCCTAAAGGTTCATTGTACACTTTATATTACCTCTGCCCACTCACCTCCAGATAGTTCCTTTGGCATGCTACACTGGGCCACTGTCTCCATGGAGACACAATGAAGCCAAGATATTTTTAATCACCATGTGTTTTTCATCTCTGACACTATCCAAGTGTAGAACAATGCAGTCAGCCAGGTGTATCACAATTCTCTTTGCAGTCACCTCTTAGCACTAGTCTAATCCTCTTTTGTGTCCTCTAGAAGCAGTCTTTGTTTTCCCTCCTTTTCTGATTTACATCTGGGGTTCTCAAAACATCTTATCCTATATGCAGATTAAAAATGAGAATGTAGGACTGTCGTGATCTCTTGTTAAATAATTATTATACAAGCATAAGGACCCCAGCTAGGTTTCCAATGCCTATTTTAAAAGTCAAGCATGGAGGTGGAGATAGGGAGACCTAGCTGGTGTGTTCAGTCAATGAGAGACACTTTCTCAAAAAACTAGGTTAGGGGATTGGAGAGATGGCTCAGTGTGTTAAGAGTGCTTGCTGTACAAGTATGAGACTCTGAACTCAGATCTCAGCACTCATATAAAAAGCTACAAAAGGCCAGGCAGCTTTGTCTGCCTGTAATCATGGAGCTATGAAATGCAAGGAAAGAGGAATTTGTTGGCTAGCAATCAGGCTCCAAGTTGAATAAGAGACTTTGTCTTAATGGAGTAAGTAAAAGAGTGTGCATGAGCATATGTTCTCTCCCTTCACATGACTATAAACCAAAACACACACACACACACACACACACACACACACACACACACACACACACACACGCACGCGCGCGTAGGTAGCCAGGTTTGTTCTTTAGCCTTCAAATATACATTGTTTCTATGTACACACACAATATTGGGTGGGAGAGTAGGTGATTTTCAAATAGCTAATTCTGTCAGTTTTTTATAAGTGAATGAAACGTTTTATATAGAATCCACCCCACTTGGTATTTCCAATTGTCTTTTCTTCAGTGTTTTATTCAGCTACACACTTAATAGATTTTCTGAGTCAGTCAGCTGTTACTCAACATTGGCTCAGAAATCTCAAAGCACATAGAAGTAAAATAAGACTTTTTTAAAATCTAATGTTTACATTAGTTTGAAATTAGAATGAACTGTTAACTTTTTAATAAAAAACATTTTGAAGAAGCTTTACTACTGAGATACATCTCAACACAGAAGCACATAAAAATGAAAATAACTGTGACAGTCATTATGAGAATTTTCTTCACACATCTCATTAATTCCAATAAGCAGAAAGGAAGGCATTGGCATCATCCTCTTTCTTACACACATGCTCCCAGAGTATTAATGCATTTATGTGACACCCAGAGTGACATGGGTGTGACAGAGTGACATTGTGTTTGGATTCCTGTTTGTCTTACTCATGCTCCTAACTAGTCTAGACAGAAGGTAAACCTTTGTGAAACTGACTGATTAAGCAAAGATCAAAATGATCAGGAGAACTCAGGAGATGCTGCCTAAAACCAAAGAACCAGTAGTATTTCAGTTACTGAGAGGACCTGAAGTGGACTCTTGTTAGCAGTGAGGTGTAGAGAGCACTGATGAGAAATGATGTGTGGAGGAGAGGGATGTGGCATTTCACTTGCTGGAATCCAAGGCAAGAGTCTGGTTCTTTGTTTTTTTGTTTTGTTTTATTTTTGAGATAGGGTTTCTTTGTGTAACAGTGTTAGCTGTCCTAGAACCATCTCTGTAGACCAGGCTGGCCGTGAACTCACAGAGAATTGCCTGCCTCTGCCTCCTGAGTGCTGGGCTTATAGGCATGTAGCACCACCGACCAGCAGCAAGACTCTTCAGGTAAAGTTAAGCATAAGACCCAACAACAGTGTTTGTAAAACTCACTTGGTAATAAAAATAAATCTGCGGTGATGCTTTGGTGAAATAATGCTGGATTTTTAAGTCAGGGACCTGGATTTTTGTCTGCATATGTGACTGTGACTTTGTTATTAAATTTAAAACTCAACAGTAATTGAGGCACCTATTGTGTGGGGGGAAATTTTTACATCTGTTGCTTCATGTGCTTAGTGGTGCTTTTATGACATCTTGTACACTTCAGTTTACTTGACAGCAGGAAAAGATACAAGCTCAGAGAAAAACTTATAGCTTATCAAAGATCCTGGATTACTCAGTCAAGAGGCTAACTTCCAAAGAAACATGTGCACCTTGCCATCACAGTTCCTAGAACTTGGTTTAATATACACACAGTAAAGAATGGATTAGAGGATCTTAATTTTTCCAAACTTTGACGTTTAGATGTATTTTATTTGTGTGATGGGTGAGAGTAGTTATTAGGGAGAAGTCAATAAGGGGTCCTCCAAACTAGGAATTGGTGAGAATGGCTTACCCAGCAGGTTTCTATCTTATGCTGAACTAATTTGAACAGATGACTTGCAAGAAATGGGTCCACCATAATTGTCAGGTTCATGATTAATCCAGAATCCATCAGTGATTATTCTTACTGCAAACATAGCTGGCTACCCTGAGACCAAGATTTCTCTGTTTTCCAAGAGAATCTTTTGTCGTGATATATTCGTGGTTTAATAAAGCCACTAGAGATCAAAATGCAAAGCTAGACACAGACATAGAGTCAGGCAATGATGATACACACCTTTAATCACACGAGCCACACTAGTTAGCTATAGAAGCTGGGCAGTGATGGCACACACCTTTAATCTCAGGACTCAGGAGACAAAGGCAGATGGATCTCTATGTGTTCAAGGCCACCCACGGTTACATTAGAGTGAATCAGTCTAAAAGAGAAACAGCTCACACAAAGGAGATCTCAGTACTTGGGATTCTGTGCTTTTAATTACATCTCTAGAGAGGTATGTAAGATAGGAGTGGGGCATTCAGTATTCAGTCTCTGAGATTTATTCTCCAGCCACACTGAAGACAGGATAGCCCTTTCAGCCTGAAGTAGAGGTAAGAGCCAGTGGCTGGCTGCTTTGTTTCTCTGATCTTCAGCTTGAACCCCAGTATCTGTCTCTGGGGTTTTATTATGTTACAATCTTATATCAGATTTTAACCATTCACTGTATCTCTATTGAGGAAGTAGGATGCCCTAGAGGAGTTAGTTTTTTCTCTTCTGAAGACGACAGCCACCTGTTTTAACTATTATTTACATATTTCATAATCAGAGATGGCATAAGGCCTACCTGGATATTGTAAATGATGTGCTGAACACAGAGCACATATAATAACCATTAGGAAGGCAAACATGCCTCAATACTTCTGTAGCTAATGATACTTAAAATGAAATGCTGCTCCTATAATTTTATGAGATATAAGTAGGTGGATTATTAATCATCTAATGTGGCAAAATGCAATTATCCAAAGGTAATTAAAATCAATTACATTCTTTATGTTATTTCTACTTTATGAGTTAAAAAAAGACAGACTGGAGTGCTCAGTTCTGAATTGCTCCTGATCTTGCTGCGTTTTGTCATCATGTGCATTATCTAATAAGTTGTATTGGCTTCCAGGAATAAGTGTTCTAAAATGGTGAAACTTTATTGTTCTTGTCTCTATTGCTGTTTCATTTCATTTGAAATCCCATATTTCATCGTCATTGCTCCCTCACTGTTACTGTGTCTTCTAATACTGAAGAGGTTAACCAAGGGAAAGATGTGTTTCTTTCATACATGTACCGGGACCTTGGAAAACCACTTAACTTAATAGACTAAATGCTTTGTTGCTTCTCTGTATATAAAGAGAGGGAAGCACATGGGTGAGAAATTAAGAGTGCTATGCCTCCATTAGCCTCATGTTTTGTATTCCAGGATTAACCTATACTGCTAGGAAGTTAACATTAAGAAATCTACAGTGATGGCAGATGGCTTAGAGGTAAAGACTTTGACCATAAGCCTGAGAAACACAGTTCTTAGCTGAACCTCAGCTTCCATGTAAATCCCAGGTGGGCATATCAGCTGCCTAAAACCTTAGCAGTTACAAAGTAGAAAACAGGAATCCCTGAAGCAAGCTGATTAGCTAGACTAGGTGAATGGGTGAGAGAACTCTGCCTTAATATACAAAGTTGAAGCCATTAATCTCAACTTCTGGATTCCATACACAAGTGTACAGGTACATGCATATCCCCCCACACAGACACATACACACAAGTGTACAACACATATACATATACAAAGAAAAGGAAATCTGAGAGCAGAAGATACTTCTTGGGGTACCGTATTCAAGAAACAAGACTTTTAAATTATTATTTATAATTTATACCTTAAAATTCAAAGCTCAAACTGAAGTATCAAATAAGCAATGGAACCCGGATATGAACGTGGAACTCTGGCAGCAAAACCCACATTCCTTCTTTACAGCATATCACTCCCCATCTAAGGGCAAGATCATGTCTTTAGCTGGAGAGGTGGCTCATAAGTTAAGAGTTCTTGAAGAGTGCTGGATGTGGCTCTCAGCACCCACATAGTGGCCCACAACCACTTGTAACTCGAGTTCCACAGAATCTAAAACCCTCTTCTGTCCTGTGAGGGTGTCAGTCACACACATGGTCCACATATACAGAAAACAAAATAAAACCTTAAAAGAGAGTCATGTCTTTCTCACACTGATTGATGCAAGTCAGTTGAGAGGTACGTTTTGTAATTAATTACCAAATCTTGTCTTTACCCATTGTACTAATATTTGTCCAACTGTCTGCCTCGTTCTGATATCTAAGCACTATGCTTATCCTTCATTTTATGCTTTGCTGCAACTTAAATTCTTACAGGGACATGTATTCAGTAAATCTTGACTTAACAGTTAAAATAATTAGTGAACCAACATGTATTTACCATATTTATTCTATGTATGATAGTATTTTTCTACCATCTGGGTTGAAAGCCACTAGTGAATTTGTATATTGTATATCAGATTTTATACTGAAAAAATACGAAGACTTAGTTCGTTGTATTGATGAAAAAACTCTGGATGGAAAAATCTCATTCACATTTTACTTCAATTCAGGAAGTTAGTCTATGCCCTAGTGTTTCCATCCTAACACCTCATACCCATTTCTGTCTGAATATGATTAGAATTCAGGAGCCATCAAATGAGTTTAAGGCAATATCTTCCTGATTAATTTAGGTACTCCTGGGAACCTTTTTTTGTATTTTCAGCAGACTTACATAGAGAGCAAACTTCAGCAGTCAATCCATGGTTCTGTGAACTTCCAGTGTGGGCTGCACTATTCTATGCTCTGTACACACTGTCTAATGTGAGGGGTTAGTAGTACTCTGTACTCTGTGCATGGAGAACTGTCGGTTCTAATTTATGTATCACCTGAGTATTTTTCCAGTCTTCTAATAGCACAGATATGTTGATTCACGACTGAACACAACTCAGAGCTTTTGTGTATATGCTAAATTACCATGCTGCAGCAAGGCATGCCATGCAAAGCTTGTATGCCTAGGAAAGTCAGTGGGGTAGGTTAACTTCTCATGCGTATAAAAGCACTTGTATGTGCAGCATAGAAAAGAACTCTGAAATCATCCATTTGAAATCTCCAGCAGATACCTACGGTTTATGGTATTTTATATTCTGGGCTATCACTTTGTACTCAGTTACTGCCTATTGTAAATATTTCCAAATACATTTCTTTTTCCAAAACAATCACAAAGGAACTTAGAAAAGTCTGGGAGGCTCTTAAATGTACATAACAATATGTTAAGCAATACATGACAAATTAAAAACTATTATCCCCAATAGTTGAATATTAGTGGCTGGGTGGATTCAATATAGACTATAAGTTCAGAGCATGTACAGACAGGAAAAATCCACACCGATTAACCTACTTTTTTTTAGTGCATCTCTGCTTCTAAGCATTGACAGTTGAGATAGCACCTAAACTAAGCTTCTCTTAATGAGGCTCAATTTGTCTTCCTTGCTGAACTGCCACTAATAACAACACAGGTAGTGTGGGGAGTTTGTGTTCAACAGAGACCTCCAGAAAAGTAGAAACCCCTCTGGCCTTATTTCAGCAGCAGAAGATACAATCTCCAATAACCAGGGTTGTGATGGTAAAGCTTATATACAAAGCCACAAGGCAGTGGATCTCAACCTTCCTAATGCTGTGGTCCTTTAATACAGTTCCTCATGTTATTGTGACCCCCCAACCATAAAATTATTTTTGTTGCTGCTTCATAACTATAGTTTTGCTACTCTTATGAATTCTAATGTATAAATCTTTAGTTTCCAATAGTCTGGGGGGGGGGAGGGCTATGACCCACAGGTTGAGAACTGCTGCTCTGAGGTGACTTCTGCTTCTGTGTCATATACCTTACCATGACATAACTTTGATAATTACACTTCATTTTCTACTTTGCAGAATTAGCCTTTGCAAGAGAGGTGCAGGAATGAGGGTTCAGTCTCCTCAGAGATGCCAACTTGAACAAATACTATGACACTATCTTTTGAGCTTTTCTATGTGGACTGAAGCAAAGAGTAATGGTATCACTTAATGATTTAATTCTTCCCACTTCAATTATAGACTATACAGGTGATAGTGGAAGCAAGTGGAAAAATTATATGCAATTGCATGGAATGTTGATGTTAATGAAGGCACCATTTTAAGAAAACAATTCTATGCAGTATTAAGCTCAAAGTCTGTGTGTTTAGCATTTTAAAAGTGGTAGAATTACAAATAAGTTAATTTGGTGATCCCAAATAAGTAGTGAGTGCTGCTGTTTGCATTCCAAATATTCTAATCATGTGTGTATGTCTTGCTATTAGAATAAATTCATGTTAATCTGTGTATATGTCTGCATTCTTCCATTTGTCTTATTTGGTTTGCCTTTGTCTTCATTCCCTCTGAGCCTGTTGCCTTGGTAACCATCACTTACTTGCTTGTATGTGAAGCTCTCCTTTGACGTACATTTATTTCTATGGAAACAGTGATGTCATTGGTGTGGGCAGGTGCTCTGGGGAAGCAAAGTAAAGAAACAGAATATTGATCTTTCTCTGAGTCATAAAATGTACTATGAAAGTAAGTTTTCGAGTTAAAGCACTATATTTTTGTTTTCATTTTGATTTGATCATTAAGTCACAGTTTTCCGTAGGTATAGTTTTGCTGGAATAAAATGAATGAATTAAAAGTGCAAAACATGTTTGATAGCACATTGCTATGTAGTATCATAAAGCTCAACACAAATACATATATGCAACAAACTTTAATCTTAAAAGTCAGAGCATTAAAAGTCAATCCCAATAGTGTTTGTTATTATAAAAAATATGGTGCTGACAAGATGGCTTAGTAGATAAAGGGGCTTTTTATGAAGCTTAATAACTGAGTTTCACCTCTGGGACCCACATGGTAGGAGATAACTTACTCCATCAAATTATCCTCTGAATTCCACCTACATCTATGGCATATGTTCACCCCACACACACAATAAATAAATTCATAAATAATAAAATGTAAAAGTTTAATTATGCAGGGAATTTTATATTAGCATAAGGCAATGCACAATAAACAGCGGTTCAGGAAGAAATTTCATTCTTATAACCATTATATATTTTAAAAAACACTCTAGTTTTAGGAACACAGGGATATAAGACATGATTAATTTTCTACATCAAAAAGTTCACATAATAAACATTCCATTTTATTTAAGTCTTTAACATTTAAGAATTTCTCCTATTTCTGTCTTTCTCTGTTATTCACTTCAATCTATTTTAATTTTTTTATAGACGATGTGGAAACCTGCCTATGATTTTCTCTATGCATGGAGCACTCACTATGGAAATAGCTACAGAGATGTGTTACAAGACCTTCAATCAGCTTTGGACAGAATGAAAAACCCAGTCACCAAACGGTGGAGAGACTTAACTGGAACCTTAATACTAGTAAATTCTTTAGAGGTTTTGAGAGTAAGTGCTTTCACTACTTCTCAGGAAATATAGAGTGAGGCAGGTTTGGGGAGCAAGGACAATGGTAAGGGGGAAAGTGTGTGTGTGTGTGTGTGTGTGTGAGAGAGAGAGAGAGAGAGAGAGATAGAGAGAGAGATAGAGACAGAGAGAGAGAGAGACAGAGAGAGACAGAGAAAGAGACAGACAGAGAGAGGATGAACTCATAAAGACGTCTTACTTCCTTTGTGTTTGGAAAACCATATTTTATCTTGAGAAACAAAGCCTAGAACTCATACCAAGGTTGGATTTTTGTAATTAAACATCTTTTTGTATGTAGTGCAAAAGTAAACAGTAAAATGCTCTGTTACTGAGAAGGAAAGAAAAGTCCTCCTCTCTTCTTCAATGTTCATTCAGTTTTCTAAAGTTAAAACATATAAGTATTTAAATAATAACATCAAGAAGATGCCTCAATAAATTGGAGGCTTTAACATGGGTAGCTATCATGAGGCAGGGAAATAGAAGCAGTGAAGACACTTTAACCCCTCAAAGGCTGCATGTCTTCTATACAGATCTCCTGTATTCTTCAGTTCAGTCAGACAGCATTGCTCCCATGTTCTGTGTGCAGAAATCAAGGGTGGAAACAGGTCCACAAGGCTAGTGTAAAGTAGGTTTTCTGCCTTAAAAGACTAATTCAAATTTTTGAAAAATCATACCACATATCAGTATAATAAAAAGGGCAAGAAATAAAAATGCATACTGAGAAAGTAAGTGTGCTCCTCTTTTTAACATCTCTTGAATACTTACTGGAAAATATGATACTGTCAGAAAAACCGTCTTCAAACATGAACTAAGAATTTTCATCAGCTTCCTTCAGCATCTTGGGACTGTGTGTTATCCTACCTAATTTGAAGGTTTTTGTCCATGATCAGAATGAAAAATAATTCTTTACCCATCAGGAGTATTTAAAAGTGTTATTACAAATAATTACTATCACCAAAACACTTTCAGTCCTAAAATATTGTGTATGTGCTCACATGAAGATATGCATTCTTTGTCTCTGTCTCTGTCTGTGTGTGTGTGTGTGTGTGTGTGTGTGTGTGTTTCTGAATAAAAATGTCCATTTGGCTAAAAACTAAAAGCACAATCATTTTAGAACTTTTAATACTCCCACCCTAAGATATATGATATGCTGGCAAAGGTAATTTGAACTAGTGTTTAGAACAATCTTAAAGGTGTTCACTATTACTTGATGATAAAATAACAGCCTGTCCAAGGGCTTATAGGCAGAATTTATTTTATTCAAGGACAGAATTTATTTTAGTTGAATACATTCAAAGAGAGGAAAGAAAAAAAATATCATACAATTTGTTAGCCTAGGGCACAATGACTTGAAGTGGTGACTTTGCTTCCTTTACAACACTGTTGTTATCTTATTAATGTGTCAGCAAACTTGAGAATTTGGGGTAGGGATAGCAGGGATTTAATTACCAGGTTTTTACAGGCAGCAAGGTCCAAGAAGACAGAGAGCTTGTAAGATGATCAATGTAGTAAGATTAACAACAACAACAACATGTATGATAGTTGTGTAGCTTGGTCTTCTTATGAGACTCTTACCAGTGGGAGCAGGGGCTGTCTCTGACTCTTGCTTCCTTTTAGGACCCTACTCCTAAAAGTCACCTTGTTCATCCTTAATATGACAGGAGGTACTTAGTCTTAGTGCAACTTGATACGCCATGTTTTGTTGATGTCCATGAGAAGCCTTCCCTTTTCTAAATAGAAACAGAGGAGTAGAGGAATGGATTGGTTTGGGCACAGAGGGGAGATGTGTGTGTGAGCAAATGAAGGAGAGAAGAGAGGTAAAACTTCAGTTGGGCTGTAATATATATGTGTGTGTGTATGTATTTAAAATATATAAATATAGCAAAACTCTTTAGGTTTGTACCTTGTCATGCTTTGAGATTGTAGTTGGGAATTTTAAGCAGAGTTTTGAAAATGAAAACCATCTCAGTAATTGGAGTATGGAATAGTGGTTTAAATATTAACACACACATAAAATTAATGATCTCTTATATTCTTCCAGGGGAATTTTAAACCCATGTCCAATCTGTCCTTTTAAATTTGTTCTTATATATTTTTATAAATTGTTCCCACTTTTCTGCATTTTATAATTTCCTTGCTGTGATGAATTTTCCTAATCAGAATAGATTAATTCAGTAAGCACAAATTGCCTTTCCTACTTGGCAGGAAGTCAATGGAATTAATAAGGCTCTTACAGCCTCTCTTTGACATCATTAAAGTATCAAAAGCTATTAATCTAAAACTTCTCCAAGCATTGAAAAAATGGAAAGAGATTAGATGGGCCTTTCAGTTCCTTAGGCTTTTCATTTAATGATGCACAAATTAGCATGGGATTCTAGTTCATTGCCTAGCTCGAAATGTGAACAATTGTTCTTTGTAATTCCCAGATTCCTGGCGTCTTTCTTTAGAGGGCTTCACATGAGTTCTTCAGTGAATTCATTCAACAGTGTGCCACTAACTTTATACCAAACACAGAAACAGCACACTTTTATGTCACGTAGCCAATGCTGTGTAAGTTGTGTACTTGTAGTTAGGTATGTAGAATAATGAATCAATGGATGCCACTGAACTGAAAAGAAGTACAGGTTTGAATATGTGGCATGGTTTGAATAAGTATGACCCCCATAGACTCATGTGTTTGAATGCTTACCCAATAGGGAGTGGCACTATTAGGAGTAGGTGTGGCCTTGTTGAAGGAAGTATGTCACTATGGGGGTGGCTTTGAGGTCTTATATGCTCAAGGTAAGCCCAGTGTGGTACAATTTCCTTCTGCTGCCTGCAGATAACAATGTAGAACTCTCAGATTCTTTTTCAGCACTGTGTCTGCCTGAATGCTGTCATGCTTCTCACCATGAAAATAATGGACTAAACCTCTGAAACTGTAAGCCAGTCCCAATGAAGTGTTTTCTTTGATAAGAGTTGCCATGGTCATGGTGCCTTCTCACACCAATAGAAATCTATGTAAGACTTGAATTTATAGGCCATACTGCTGTATATAAGGTATTTGACCACTTTTTGATGCCTAAGGAATATTTGAGGTAATACAAGAGAATAGTCAAAACTTTGGTCAGTGCAAGTTTCTGAAATTAAAATGAGTTATCTACTGTTTGTACAAACACAATTAAATCCTCTTCATGTATAAACCATTCATCATGTGCAGCTGTATGAGACACTGGGAAATGATGAATAGCTATCTAACACAAAGACTATATATTACCATCATGCTGAGTGGGAGAATACAAAGAGAGTTATCAGAATAAAATAACATATCAAAGTCTGGCTTCTTGCATACTTCCTAGTTCACAGAATGTAAAGTGACCACTTATACTCAAAACTTTGAGTTTGCACAAGTTTAGCATCTTATGTACACTTGATAGTTAACATGTGTTAATACTTGTTTCAGGATGACACTGGACATTGTTACAGAACACAAATAATACACATTACATTTTACATTGATTATTTATGTATATGTAGAAAGTTTTACATTTAAAGTATAGTTTTTCAATTTTGAGGAACAGTGTCAGTTTATAGAGAGGGGAATAAAGTGAAAAATAACACTGAATAATAATTAGTAAAAATCAAAAACTTTGAATGTCACAGAAAGATTCCTCTTAATGTTGATAGACCAGAAGAAGAGGACTGTGACTTCTAATCTTTGCCCATTAGTATAAATAAGCCTTTAGAGATTTCAGTCAGACTGGTAGACTTTGGTTACTCAGTAGCTAGAGAAACTAAAACCAGGTACCTGCTAAAACTATCCTTGCAATTCAGTGTTTTTAAGTATATAATAAGTTGAGCACAATATGGTTTTATTTTGTTAGGAGAATGCGAAGAATAACAATTTGAATACAAAATATACGTATCAAAATAGTAACCACTATGTATTATGGATAGCACATATATAAAACACTGAATTGGACTTTCCATCACTGAAATAAATAATAGGAAAACACTGAGAAAGAGAAGATTTATTTTGGCTCACAATTCATAAGTTTTAGTCCAGCACTGCTTGGCTTTGTGTTACTAGGCCTTTGGTAAGGCAAAACATCATGGTGGCTGAATGTGATGACAGAAATCCCCTCACTGAATGATGGATAGAAAGCAGAGGCTGGAGGCCAGGTGTTACCTCCAAAGGTACACCTCTAGTAACTTTCTTCCTCCATGCATTAAGTCCTGAGGTTTATTCCCAGATCCACAAAAAATGGGTTATAATTAATTTTGTATTTACTTTGTATAGCCAACTACTTCTTATTTATTAGTTTTTTTTTTGAAAATTCCGTAAATATATCTTGATCACATTTACACCTTCCATGCAAATCCCTGGGCCTCGAGAAGAACAGGTATGGTATATGATGTCCAACTTAGGGCTGAACATTCTACAGTCTGATATTCTCTGCACCTTGACTGTAGGTATCTGTGTAAATTACCATTACCATCTCTTTTAAAAAGATGCTTTTCTCATGAGATTTGAGAAATACACTGAAATATGGGAATAGTAACAGGTCATTAGAAGTCCATTTATACTGTGTCCATTTAGCACAATAATAGTAGTTTCACTCTCAGAACTTGTTTATCCATAGATTCTTGGTACAACAATAGTGCCACATATGGGTTTCATCTTGCTAAATGAAACTTAAATACAATTAGAAAGTGGTTGTTTAGTCCCATGATGTTTGTGCCTCTATTGCACTAGTTTGAAGTCGATTTTCAGGGTTAATATCTGGATAGGAGTCATGATTAATTTTCTGGTAGTATGCATAGCGCCTATCAGCATTATGATAGCTACCTAGTAAGGTTGAAACATCCAGGTCAGTGTTAGTCTTAGTAACTCCACGCTCTATTACAAAATGAGTATGCAGTGTCTTTAGTAATAATACGTCACTCCAAGCTCCGGAGAGTAACCAAGAGCATTGGCAAAATAGCCTGTAACAGTTTTGGTCTCTGGAACTTCACTGGCCAACAATTCAACACCAAAAGGTATTTCATTCCATAAACTGAGTTTTTTATTTGCTACCCTCTGGAATCTAGTAGGAGGATTATTGCCCCATTATAGGGCAATTCCATTTTAACTCTTGGTGTGTGTGTGTGTGTGTGTGTGTGTGTGTGTGTGTGTGTGTGTGTGTGTGCATGCTTTATGAAGTTTCTGTAGCAATAGGTTTCCATCTGATTTTTTCAAAAGGTCTTAGTTTCCCTTCCCTGTATTCCTTCTACTTTTCTGTCCTCCTAACCCTCATCCTATTTAACTCTTCTTATTTCATTATTCCCCTTTAGTCCATTATACCATTGTGTTCTGTCTCCCTTCCTTGAAAGGCCCTGTTCTTATGGCCCCCATCTTAGTTATTATTTTTATTGCTGTGAAAAGACACTATGGCTAAAGCAGCTTATAAAAGAAAACATTTAATTGGGGGCTTGTTCCAGTTTCAAGTCTGTGGTGGGGAGCATGGTGGCAGGCAGGCAGGCAGGCAGGCATGGTATTTGAGAAAAAGTAGCTAAGAACTTACATTCTGATCAACAGAAAAGAGGCATTTAGAGAGTGAGACTGGGTCTGATGTGTGGGCTGTTGAAACCCAAAAGCTCACCCTCCCAGTGACACACCTCTTTCAACAAGCCACACCTCCTAATCCTTCCATAGTAGTCCACCAACTGGTAACCAAACATTCAAATGTATGCACCTATTCTAATTGGAACCATCACATTCTACTCCCAGGCTGCCCATAGACTTGTAGTCATATCATAATGCAAACTGCACTCAGTCTAATTTCAAAAGTCTCTATTCTTTTGTACTCTAAACTATAGTCTAATCTTTCTTCTGAGATTCAAGGCCATCTTCTTTACAACCATCTATAAAATCAAAACCAAATTACATACTTCCAACTTACAATGACACAGAATATATGTTATCATCTCAAAAGGAAGGAAAGGGGCATAGTGAGGAAGTATTGGACCAAACCTAGACTGCAAACCAGTAAGCCAAATTCCAAATCCTTCAGTTTCAGGCCTGATGAGAGTGGGCTTATTAGATGGCTCTTCCCCTTCCAGCTTTGCCAGCTGCAGCACACATCTCTTCTTGTAGTCAACTCTCTTTCTTGATGTTTCTGTGTCTGGCTGACTAACAGCTGCCTGGCTTCTGGCCTCAGGCATGTCCTTCTATTTCTCTCCTCTTGTTCATGCCTATTTCTCTTTTTCTAGAGTGTAGGTTTCTCCTCCTCTTTTTTCTTTCTGCCTGGCATCCCCTACTATCCTTTCTCCTGCCTAGTTATTGTTGGTTCAGGTTTTTATTAGATCAGTCAGGTGCCTTAGACAGGCATGGGGAAACAGATGCAACATATATTTACATAATTAAACACACATCCTTACATCATTAAACAAATTACTGCATAAACAAAAGTAACACATATTTTACACAGTTAAAGCAATATTTTGCAGCGTAAAGAAATGTAACACATTTTTGCCTAGCTAAAATAATATTCTATAACACTTGTGTGATGATTACTCTTGGTTGTCAACTTCATTGCATCTGGAATGAACTATAATCCAGAAATTCCACACCGTTAGATTATTTTTGCTCCGTTGTAGAGGGTGAATCCAGTTCTAGTCCAGACCTTTGAGGCAGGAGGACATAGACCTTTAATCTGGATATTGAGTTGGGAAGACACATCTTTAATCTAGGCCACACCTTCTGCTGGAAGCATATATCAGGACATGTTAGAAGGAAACCTGTTCCTTTCCTGCTTGCTAGCACATCCATTCCTTCACTGGCATTGGAACCTACGTCTTTGTGACTCCAGCATAGACTGAAGATCATGTGAGACATCCAGCCTTGTGGACTAAGCCACTACTGTATTCTTGGACTTTCCTTTCTAAAGTCATTCATTTCCTTTCTAAAGCCATTGTTGGACTAGCTGGACTGCAGCCTGTAAGTCATCGCAATAAAATCTCTTTATATATATAGAGAAAGTTGCATTCTATACATTCTATTACTCTAGAGAACCCTGAATAACTTGATTGCTGAAATATGGAAGGCATCTTGTTTTTCTTCTTCATCTTATCAGAAAGGAAGAAATCTAGTGTTTGGATTTCTCAAGGATGAGTCTGATACCACCTAAGGCTGCTTTTCTGAACTGTGAAGAAACTCCATGTCACCATGATTTGAATATAAATGGATCTTAAAGGCTTGTATATTAGAATGCTTAGTCACCAGAGAGTGGCACTATTTGAAAGGAATAGAATTAGGTGGTGTGGTCTTGTTGGGGGAAATACTTCACTGCCCCCAGTTTCAAAAGCCCTTGCCAAACCCAGAGTTTCTCTCTGGATGTAGTTTTCAACTACTGCTCCAGCACCTGCCTGCCTGCCTCATGATGATAAATGAACTAAACCTCAGAAACTGTAAGCAAGACCCCAATTAAATGCTTTATTTCATAATAATGGTCTTGTGTCTCTTCACAGCAACAAAACAGTGACTGTTACTTCACCTACAACAAGCAGCAGCCCCAAGTTAAAGTTGCCATTTAGCACTCTTTGAAGAGTTAGCTGTTCTTAGAACGTCTGTTCAAATTCACATAAGAATGAAGAATGTATATTTTATCATCTGAGATCCCTGAGGAACTTTCAGTCATCCAGTGATTCTAGACTTAAAATGTGTGACTCATTTTTTTTTCTCCTTTGTTTTTATTTACAAAATTCTCTCTTGGACTCCTCTAAACCTGTCAAACAGTTCTAAGCTCACCCTAGGCTTCCATGTAAACAGCACCCTCATATTTAAATTTCAGTTTCAAGGTGCTCCGTCCTTGTAGTGAGTGTGCCAACTTGGTTACATCGTGTAATGTTTTCCAGAGTCCCCCTCTCTGATTGGTCTGGCAAGAAAAGAAATCTGGGTTAGATTTAAAAGGTAATGGTAATGCCCCAGATATTGGTATCAAAGGGATCAGACACAGGTCCAGCCACATTCCAGTCTCTGCTTTAGCTTGTTGACTACGGGCAGCTGAGTAACCTTCAACAACATGCTTCCAGATCCCCCTGCTTCTCATCTATCCAACCCCAGTCAGGAGTGAAGATTGCAATTATTTCTTGTGCATGTTTTTCACAGCAGCAAGGCTCAAGGAGAGACTCACCAGGGTGCTGGTACCCAACAAAGCTCAGCAAATTCTTAACCACTTTTCTTTCTTTTAACCTGACCTATGGCTGGTACTGGAAGGGCCAGAGGAGACTGACTACCACCATCCACAAGCATGTCAGGGGATGGACCTTTTAGGCTTAGCACCCATTCCTCAA